CATAAGATCCTGAGCTGATCCCAGTCAGAGAGGAGTATGTTGTGGGAACACACAAGCGGTTTATCCCCTAATTCACATAATTACCATCATTTCAAAAGTCTTCGAATTCCCCGGTCCACATGGGGCTCTCTTACAGGGCAGCCCTGCTGACTTTGAGGAACCAGCAGGGTACAGGAATTGCAGCCAGAAATCAACCTCGGTGTTGCCATTGACAGTGATGTGTCCGCCATACTTAGTGTGGGCTTGGTTGTTGTGAGGTCGCTTGTGGGCTTAGTGCTGCAAGGATGCTGGACCATCCTGCTCCCTGCCTGCAACGCGCTTGTGAACAGCGGGACCAGAGGAGCTCCCCCTTCAGAGGGTGCAGCATCGCAACTCTTTGTCATGGAGTGACTTCTGTATCACGCAATAAAAAACAGAAGGAAATATATAAAGCAACGGCATATTTATTCTGAAAGCACAAATGTTTTCCAGCTTCGTGATCCCAAGAGTTTCTCCAGACAGTTATAAATACTCCATCTCTGTTTGTGCGAGCAGGGGAAAATCACTCCTCGCCATCCAGACAGTGCACCGGAGGCACACTGGGAATTACCCAGTTACAGAAAAGTCATTTTCCAGAAATTCACTTTCACATCCTTTATTTTGAGCTTGGGCTGCCATTCCCCAGAGAAAGTGTGATATGCAGTAACAATGACTAACATTTTAATAAACCTTTTCCCTTTACTGAGCACTTCGGAGAGAATGATGTAGCTGAGGTTCTGGAGCCAGCCAGCCGCCCTTCACCTCTCGCTTCTGCCCTTAGGCAGGTTACTTGACCTCACTAATCTACGAGGAATTTAGAAAATGGGGATAATAGTGCCAACACCACCCCCTGGGGTTGTACATGAGTCAGTCCAGTGGCAGGAAGGTGATAAGCACTGTCCCTCATCTTCCGCCCCGACTATGGCTATGTGGGCGGAAGGGTGAGAGGCAGTGGCTGAGACCGGCCGTCTCAGCTGGTCTGGCCACTTGCCCGTCATCTCTACTTCTCCATGTCCCCGAGTGCCTCTGCTGTTGTCCTTGCCAGCTACTTGCTGGGGGACAGATGAAGAGGAAGATCCCCTGAAGTAAGTAGCACCTCATCTTCCATATTTTAAAGTCTCTGTTTTGTAAAGTAACCCGATGGGTGGATGGGAAGGGGGGGTTCCCTTCTGCTGTGGAATGTTTATTGAGCTTCAAGGATGCACCCGGCACTGTGCTGCTGGACTCCTCGCAGTCACCCCCGGGCTAGGAGCTGGCAGAGTTGTGTTCCAAGCCGGGACCACCCACCTGCGAGCCCAGCCTTTTCCTCCTGTACCACCGGCTGCTTGCTTTCTCCACGGCTGCTCTCATCCAGTGGCGGGAGGGATGACTGAACTGGAGAGTGACCTGGGTTCTGTATCGCTCCTTCAAACCTGAATCTTGGCCTCATCCGACTGTCTCTAAAGCTGCTCCTGTCCAAAGCTGTACCCAAACCACTGCGGTGGGGCAGGGCAGGGGTGGGCCTTGATTTTCTGTAATGGAGAATCCATTGAGTTAGTATTTACATAGTCCCTTCCCGAGCTGCCAAGATCTTCTCATGGTTGCTCCCTTTCACCCTAAAAAGAATCACGTTTGAAGTCAGATATTCTTAAATCTTTAATATGTAAATATTTAAAACCTTCACCGAAGACTCAGACCCTAAAGGGCCTGGTGGCTATGAATGCAAGGGGGCGTAAGAGTTAAACCCTTAGGAGGGAAAGGTGACTACAGGTTTTTTAACGAATCATATTGAAGGTCAGGGCTCTTTTTTGACTTTTTAATTTTTCTTTTCCAATTACAGTTGACGTTCAATATTATGTTATTTATTTCAGGTGTACAGCATTGTGGTTAGACATTTCTATACCAGTAATTACAAAGTGACCCTCCCAGTAAGTCTAGTGTTAGGTCAGGGCTCTGTTATGTTGACCTGTCGGGTGTAGGGAAAGGAGCCAGGGACCGACCGGTCTAACCCTGCTTAGACAGGTGACTTACTAGCGACTTAAAATTCCTTTCCCATTTGTAAACGGACTGTGACAGGTGCATGACAAAAAAAATCTAGACATCTCATTTCCTTAAGCATTGAAAGCTTCAGAATCGAAGGAGGGGTCCGGGTGGGGAATTTCTTAGTCCCTTTGAATTGCGGGGGTGGTGGGGAACCGGTAGAAGCTGGGCAGGGTTCAATGGAATAGGTGTGCGCAGCCAAAGACCCTGTGCTCCAGCAGTGTTGTAGTTGTGACGGGGCTGCCTAGGACTCGTCACCTACATCTTCAACCTTTACACAGTGTTTCCAAGAGGTTCAGTTCAGTTTCACTTTATTTCATTTTCAGAGAACAGGGCAGCAGCAAAAATGGGAAAACCAGAAAAGTGATGAATTATTATAATAAATAACTTTTAAGTAACTTCCAAAGGCCACAGGTAATCTTCCCTTTCTGGTATCTTTCATTCCCTTTGCCTTTTGTCTTGGTGGAAATCAACTTTTAACCAAAAGACAAACAAACAAAAAACAATATCTAATGAGGACTGAGAAAATGACTTAGAATTATACATGTCATCATTTCAGAATCCAGGTTTCAGATCCATTTAATTCAAGTTTGTTTTTTTTTTTAATGATGATTTGTACAGAAATCAAGTCAGATGCTTGAAGATCCAAAATGACTTTTTTTCTCCCCTCCCTTACCCCTCCGATTCCCTGAATATTATATTCCTCACCCAGTGCAAAGTGGTAGAGAATGGAAACCCTAGCAGAGTTCCTCACTGCAATATATACTAGTGGCCACGACACTAGAATGCCTATTCACTTCTTGTGAAATGCTACATTAATGATTTCTTGAACTGTCACTTACTACTAAAAGTGGCGTCATGGCTGCTTTGAGCACTTGGGGTAGCAACCTTGGTGGTTCTTTGTAATGCCCAAACAAGTAGGCTGGAGCCCATGAAGAGAGTGAAGGCCAGAGAGGTGGTGGTCTGCGCCTTCCTGCCCTGGCTGCCTTAAGGTCTGGCTTCACAGGATCCACTCCCTAACCCTGGGTAGAGGACTCCTCACCCCACGTACAGGGCATGATAGGATGTTTGTAGCAGCCTCGCCAGGGCTATTACACAGCTATTTGCTGATGCCAGACAAGCCTAAAATACCTTCAGACACAGCTGAGGCTCTGGCTCCCGGGAGCCCAGGCTGGCCCGGAGTAGGGGCGCAGTGGCCGTGAGGAGGACCACACAGACCACTCCCAGCCCAGGTGCACAGGGCAGGTGAATGATGACGAACACTCCAGGAATCGCATGCATTTTTCCATAGCCAGGGAGTAAAAAGGAGATGGGGAAGGCGGGGAGATCAGAAAGGGGCCTCGGGGATTCGGAAGGAGAGTGCCCGATGATGGGTGTTAGAATTGGTGGGTGGTTTTTATGAGTTCTGTTCCTGGGCCAGTTCTAAATACATGAGCGCAGAAGCACATGTGCAGGGCAGCCTACCCAAACCACACAGACATCTGGGACCTGGGCGTCCTGCTGGATTCCAGCAGTGGCGGCGATGCTTTTAAAACGCGGGAGTCAGTTCCATAGGACCCCACAGAGCTCTTTGGTGTTGGAACCTTTGATGCTCTGCACAGATGAAGCGTAGAGAACTATCTTCTCTTTATACTTTTCAGTTCCCAAAAAAGTGTTCCTTGCTCTCTTTTCATGGATTTAAGTGTAATCACATCACTGGATAATTAGGAAAGTGAATAGAAGACGCAGGAAGGAATTTAGAACTTTTTTGCTGCTGTTTATCAACAGCTAATGATACTTGATAACAGATCTAAATCTTATTTTTTACCTTTACCAGCAGCTTCAATTCCTTCCTGTTACTGCTTTGGATTTATGAAAGCTTGGTTGTGAAGATTAAATACTATGGATAAGGAAGATTTTGAGTTTTTGTGTTTAGTTTTAAAAGGTTTAAAGTTGGGAGCATGGCTTTGCCTATTCATGGAACTGGTCCTGTTTCATCTGCTTGTTATGGTGCCACCTTCTGTTGAAGTTTCTTTTGACAGCCATTGGTCACTATCTGCCCTGAATAAAGGAAAACATCTTGGATGTAAAATTCAGTTAAAAAGGAAAGCTTCTGAGTAAAACAGAGTAAGATTTTTAGCTAACTGCTAAAATTAAAAATTCAATAATTAATTTAAAAATTTAATTAAAAAATTAAAATACAGTCTCTTCTCAATGGAAAATACTTGGGAAATTAAAACTGCATTATTATAAATTAATAATTTGTTATTGCTTCTTAAACACCTGCATGTTAAAGATAGATATTATTTGCATGTGTTTTAGGTATGGCATTAAACACAAGTGTCATTATTTGTTAAGGTTTGTATAAAAATTGGCTTTTTAGGTAACTAATAAAATTTCTAGTATCGTAAATTTTGCGTATTTGCGGGGGAGGGAGTGGAATGCAGAAATTAAAGTGGATCTTACCTCCAAAATCAGCCTGTAGTATTTACTGAAGGCAGGGTTGATTGATTGCATTGAAGTAGGCAAACAGGACTAACCTCAATCTGCCAAAAATAACTAAATCAAGTGTTTTTTCTTTGAACTGTCTCATTCGGATAGACTTTTTTCCAAACACTGGCTACAAATGAGAAGACTGAGACTCATGAAGTTTTTCTTTTAATACTTCTACTGGTTCCATGAGAAGGAAATAGGGCTCCTGGAAGTCGATCAAAATTTCCACCACAATTTGTAAACTGGTTGAAATTACCTTAGGGAAAAGATGATTAAATTCACAGATCATACAAAATTGATTTAGTGCTTTGTCCAGAGTTAATTACAGACGATTCCACACTCCAGGGCTAACACTTATGTCTTATTCGCCAGGTACAGTGTGGGACTAGCTGGCAGGCAAGGGAAGTCATGGTCACAGCCTAACCTCGCCGCACCAAACGAATGTTCCCTCCAGTTCCCTCTCTGAAGGTGTCGCTTTTCTCTCTTCCCAGGGACCCTCTGAAAATCCAGCAACTACAGAACCAAATCCGCCTGGAGCAGGAGGCCAGCGCGCGGCTCCCCGCGACCAGCGCCCCACGCAGCGCGCCACCCTCGCCGCCCTTCCCACCGCCTCCCGCCTTCCCCGAGCTCGCGGCCTGCGCGTCGCCTGTGGCCCCGGAGCCCATGAGCGCGCTCGCCTCCCGAGCCACCCCCGCCATGCAGTCCTCCGGCTCCTTCAACTACGCGCGCCCCAAGCAGTTCATCGCTGCGCAGAACCTGGGCCCAGCCTCCAGCCACGGCACGCCGGCCTCCAGCCCCAGCTCCTCCAGCCTCCCGTCGCCCATGTCCCCAACACCGAAGCATTTTGGTCGCGCGCCCGCACCCCCCTTCACGCAGCCCTTTGGCGCCGAGACAGAGGCCCCGTGGGGCCCATCCTCGCCGTCACCCCCGCCGCCGCCGCCCCCGGTCTTCAGCCCCACCACGGCCTTCCCAGTGCCAGACGTGTTCCCGCTGCCGCCTCCGCCACCGCCTCTGCCGAGCTCAGCCCCGGCCTCCCACTGCGCCTCCCCCGCCGCCCGCTTCGGCCACAGCCAGACACCTGCAGCCTTCCTCAGTGCCTTGCTGCCCTCGCAGCCGCCACCCGTGGCAGTCAACGCCCTGGGCCTGCCCAAGGGCGTCACCCCCGCGTGAGTGACAGCCGCACCCCCTCCCACCTAAGGTGGTCTTGCCCCTTCAGCACACACCCTTCAAAGTGCGCCCACTGACCTGCAGCCCAGGGTCCCATTGTGACATTTTTACATACCTCCCTTCATCCAATTTTCAAATTCTTAACACAGCAACTTTACCAAGCTGTTCTTGCATAGTTACCTTACCGTTATCACAATCAACACTTTTTCTTCTGCACTAAATAATACAAGATCTTCTCAGGAACTACCCAGAATCTAAGCAGTACTCTTAATTTTCATGGTAGTGGTGTCAGCTACTATTTACTGAGCATAGTGCTAAGCAATTCACTTCTGTTCTCGCATTTGATACATTTCTAAGAGACATGATTGCCTCACCTACAAGGGAGGGTTCCAGCAGTTCAACAGTTTGCCCAGGGTTGTAGGGCCACCAAGCTGATATTTGAATCCATGCAAGTCTGACTCCAAATCCATGCTGCCACCAAACTATGCATCTTAATATTTCAGATCAATATTACAATAGAGCTGGAAGGGCTTGGTTATTAAGTATACACTTAATGTTTTTGAACTATCTAAATTAACAGAATTAAGAAGCCTTTACATTTATGTAGTGATTGGCTAGAAGGGGGGGACATGTAAATGTCTTTATATTGTTAATCCAAATAAGTGAAGGCCTATGCAATCAAGTGAAGAAATGGTGCCAGTTCTGTCCTCAGCCAACAGTGATCTCTTGGGAGATGACATGGACCCTCTTCCTCTGTTTGCATATTATTTAATACGTGCCTTGCTTTATCTCACAATGATGATATGCAGCCCTCTGAAATCTTTAAATAGAAAATCTATGAGGATAAATAAGATGCCAGCTACAAAAGTACAGTAAAGCCTTCCAAAGAAATGTCGCACAGGTGTTTGGCATGCCCAGGTGAAGAGTAAATTGTGTAAAAGCTAGCACACACGTGTCTGACTGAAGGGTTCAGAACTAAGTGAGAGCTAGCAGAGGTCAAGCCAGTTCCCATATCTCAACACCTGTTGAAGTCCTACTCCAGGGTTCGCTGGAATGCCAGTATTGTTCAGAGAGAAAAGATGGAAGCCCTACTAAAGAATAAAAATAAGCAGACCTTAGAGTTCGGGTTATTTTCATTTATATGGAAAAGTTTTCCATTCCAGGATGTACTAATGCTACCTTAGAATGAGTACTTGCTTTGTTTGACTTTGACAAGGTGAGTCAAGGAGCTTTAGATAGCAATTTTTTTGTTGTTTTTTTTTTTTGTTTGTTTGTTTTTTTGGTTAGGCACTTTCTAAATGTTGAGTACATGAATTCTAAGTTTGAAATCTGGCTTCTTCTCAACTCTTTATTGGAAAAAGTTCAGTCAAATGGACATAAATAAGTGGAATAAAGGAGGAGTCTGTATAGTAATGATGTGATAATGAGCTTCTATTAAAAGTTGAGCCAGTCAAATTGCCCGAAAAAACCTTTCTCTTTCTCCCCTACTTCTCTCAGTTTTTATTTGGCTGCTAGGAAATGAAGCCTTACCTTGCTGCAAAGACACGAACTATTAGCCTTAAAAAGTAGGAGTTTGCTGCATGACTCTCTATCCTTTCATTCTATGAAATGGTACCAAATCTTGCTCCCCAGAAAGATAAATAATGTAATATTCCTCATACAGGATTTGACTGAAGATTAGTCTATCAGAGGCATTGGGTGGTCATGCCTTTTATCATCCTAAGTAGAAACAGTGGTTTATTCTGATCTTGGACTTTGAAATTCTCTTAAGATAAGCAGATTTAAGAGTTTACTTCAAGAAATAGAAGCACTTGTTTCTTATCAGCATCTATCACAGTTACCCATTTTATGGGGTCAAAATATGTTATAACTGTTGCCACAAGAGTCCAGCAGCTCCTGCTGTTTCTTTAAAGTTCATGGAGAAGTCATGCTGATTCTCTGGCTATGCAGACTACATCCAAAGACAATTAGGTGCGGTGACACCAAAGATAAGTGGCAATACCAGGCAGCAGATTTTGCGCTCTGTTCTGGCCTAATCAGCCGTCGTTTATAGTTCTCCTTTACCTTCAAGAAATTTTCCTATTGCTGAATCACACACTTGAATTCGGTCTTTGGGTTTGTTTGATGCATGTGACTTTTAGAACATTTTTTCCTCCGGCATAATGTGGGATCCCTCGCTTGCATTCTGAATTAGAAACAAAAAGGTAGCTATTTATCCTTCCTAGCATTCCACGTAATTTGCCACGGACTGAGTGAGTTTCAGGGCTGCCATGCCTCATTGGCATCCTTGAACTTGGAGCAACTGCCGAACTTTTGTCAAATGAATCTTTTAAGTTACTTTCATTTATATGTCATTGGTTACTTGTGGTTAATATGACAGCAAATTCAGTTTCACTTATATTCGTTATTTCCCTAATTGGACAGTTCCGCCATGTGTGTCAAGTTCCAGTAAGTAGACTGATTACACATGACTTGGTGAAGTAGAAACACATTAGATTTTTGTTTCCCTGTTTCCCACCAAAATCTTAAGTGTGAATTTCAGATATGTTTTCTTAATCATCAGTTGCATACTAGCTGTTTTAGTTTGTTTGCACGTTTAGCATGGTCCTTGTTAAGGTTGATTATTTACTAACTTTGTAAATAGTCTGGAGATAAGGTTCTGTTTCTCGAATGTCTGGGTAGCAGAGGTCAAGGCAGGGAACAAAGGCGGTGGGTGCCAGTGATAAACCACAGTCGAGAAGACGGATGACAGAGAGGAGCCTGGAAGCGGCAGCAGGGCTGGGTGGCTGGCTGACTGCAGTTCGGGGGACTTCCGCACATGGGGTCCCTCTAGTGCTTTTCTTTCTTCAGGCCGCTACATTCTTCCCCAAGGTTACCGAGGTCACCAGCAGAGAAAATAACCCCCTTCTCAAAGCTGCTGACAGACACAAATGTTAAGGTGACTAAATCTTTCAGATGGAGGCAGCAAGGAGAACATGCCTTAGAAAGAAATGTTTGCACATTTATAAAATTAGTGTATTCTACTCCCCTCACAATTGCTGGTAGTTTTATAGCTTCCATCGCTGTAACCTGCTCTTCTATGCACCACAGTAAATCAGCCCTAGGAGACGGTGGGACTCCGGAGGGCCTGGGAATGCCACCTGAGAACAGTGTGGCAGTTCTGTCTCTGCTGGGCTCTGAGCGGCTGTATTAAGCTCAGGGTGAATCAGATCTATCCCCGAGAACCAGACTGGCACAGGTTGGCACTGCATCTTCCGCCCACCTTGACATTCTTGGCATCCGTTCTCACAAGGGGGCGCCACAGAGCCGAAGTGCTACAACTCTTCACTGCCTCTCTTATAGAAGCCTTAAAGAAGGGCTTTGTTTGGAAATGTGAGCCCACGTTTGCCAAAAGTAAAAGCTCTCAGTAGCGCTTTTATTCTCTAGTCACCCTGCTCTTTATAGATGTGTTATCGTTGTCCCTCTTCTTCTCTCTGATTTATAAGAAACAGGTGGGTGGGAACACCGTCTTCATTCAAGGTGAGAGGCACCAAGAGGTGAAGGCACTTCCCAGGGTTCTGGAATAAGCTTAAGCAAGGAGGGTATTCATTGGAGCTAATGATTTGCCCAGTTCATCTCTAATAAATCTGGTGTCTGAAATTCTTAATTAAAGAAAACTGCTGCAGACCAACAAAACCAAAACCTGAGTCCTAAGGAGAAGTTTATAAACAGATTCAGATGTACTTCAGACAGGTTCTGAGTCAAGACAGTATTTAGATAGTAACTAATAGAAAAGACAGAAGCTGCACTGGACTTTGCAGACATTGTCTCATGGCTCCTGCCTCTCTCCCGTCCTGCAGGACATTCCCCATTCAAGGCAGAGGCCTGCGGGGCGTGGGGGTGCCCCAGGGCCCTGTCATTGGGCTCATTAGGGTCCTGTGTCTCAGAGATGCTACACAAAGATGAATCTAATCCTGGGCAACTATTTCCCACCAGATTGGTAGGAGGGGTCTCCGGGTCTGCTGTGACTAGTGACAGTTCTGTTGAAATGTCTGCCCCAGGAGGAGCTCAGAAAGAGATCTGCTCGGTCCTGGATGGTTCTGTCCAAGTTGCAAATAGGTGTAGTGCCCGCAGGTGTGTGAGTTTATTCTTTAGATAGCCTAAAAAGTAATGGGAGCTTAATTTTAGTATAAAGTGATCTATTTTCCGTAAGTATGGGCTTAAGGTACTCACTGTACTCTAACAGCTTTGGCTTTTGATATATAAGAACTCAGTTTGTATATCTTGGGCTCTTTTTATTGATGTATGTTAATTCTTGAATATGAGGAATAACGAAATGCCAACATGTTAATGATTTTGCTCACTCTGGAATTTTGTGGAATTTCATTACCATTAGATATCACTAACTATGAGAGGACTATTAGTAGTTTAAAAAATGTCTCTAGTTGCAAGACAGGCTCGTGACCTCTTGAATCAATATTGTGCTCTGGAGATTTGAGTTTCAGAAATACGCTGAGTTGACCTAGAATAGGATATCAAGAGGAGGATGTTCTTAAGATTATTCAGTAGCCAAGGGAAGAAGAAAAAATAAAAATTAAAAAAAAAACCCTTCTGGGATTTCGTGACTGAATCTGGAAGATTTTACCTTCCAGATGCTTGTGTATATGCTTGAGATGTTTTTACGCCAAGCCACATGAATAGTATTTTTAAATGGCAAGTGACTTACTGTTGAAGCTAGAGTAAACAGATCAGTAATGTTTTCTGCACAGTTGGGCTGAGTGTGTATACACTGAAGTATCTAGTGTGGGAGGCTTGTATGAACCGTTTACTGGTTGAGGTTTGCTTCTGAGGACGGGTTTTTGTGAAGAGGGCTGGTTCGGGTAACAGTTTACTTTGACTAAGCATTTTATTTTGTAATTGTACACATCATCCCTTTTTCACCACTCTTTCCTGAAAAGCTGTTGCTCTTCATTTATCAAAAGTAGATGCCATTTGGGGGAGCAAACCACAGCCATTTTACATTAAACTCCAACACAGAATTAGTTTTATAGGAAATACAAACCCAGTTTCCAAGACTTTGCCTCAAACACTTATAACTACTTGTCTTTCCTGGTGCCTCTAAGTAATCTACACATGGCCTTCCAAATACTCCATTTTGGCTTCTAACCCTAATCTTTAAATACTAACCTCTTAACTTTTTACTCAGTTCTTAACACAATTTCCTAAAATTAGTCCACATGTGACACCCTCTAAGAAAAAAGGTTCCATATTAACAGCAGTGTGAGAAATCCTGCAACCTGTACCGCCCGCGCTTCTTTCCTCTGGGCTCACGATGCCCGGTTGCCCTGCCAGGCTCGTGCCGGTCATGGCAGCTTTGCACTGCCCCGCTCTCCGGCAGGGCCTCACACGGCAGCCACCTTCCTGTCACCTGGCCTCAGCTGCAGTGTCAGCTCTACAGACCGGTGATGAACTGCACTCTCTAATGCAGTCATCGCCTTACAGTCCTGTGACCGGCCGCCTCCTGATGTGTCCTTCCTTCCGCCCATGCTCCCTCCCACCCTCCTCGCCATGGAATGTAATTTTTCCAAGCATGGTGACGTAGCTGTGATCAACATTGTATTCCTAGAACAGAGCTGAGCACTGAAAAGTCCATTAGGGAAGGTTATTTCCACATGTTTGGAAACTCTGGTCAAAGATTTCTTGGCACCTCTTTCACCTCCTTTCATTCCCTTCCCCTCAGCCAGTCCCGTCTCTGAGATTCACTTCCGTGCTGGAGAGTGTGTGTGAGCCTAGGCAACCGGCACCCGGCCTCCTGCAGTGCCCCCCGCGATGCTGAGATGCGCGCTTCTAATTCCCACATTTTACAGAGAAGGAGAGGGAGGCACATAGCCCGTAGGTAACTCCCCACACAGCCTTTAAGTGATAAAAGAGAGAACCTGACCTCCACGCCTTTAGTCATGCTGACTCTGGATCCTTCCTCTCCCCTCTCTACTTGTCTACACCCTCATCATCTTCCCAGATCACCCGCACTTCCTCTTTCATAGACTCGACTGCAGCCATTGCAGCCAGCATTCTTTCCCACTTCCTTTTTACTCCCACTGCGCCTACAATTGCTACCACATTGTTTGTTCCTTCATTTATTCTCCAACCTGATTATTAACCTCTTGTGATCAAAGTCCTCCTTTAGGATATGGCTCTTCTCCATCTCATACAGAGTAGTGTTGAGACTGCACTGAGGAAGCCGGAGGCTCCATAAGTATTTGTGCAGTGACTATTAAACATGCAAAAGTCTCTCAATTAGTTGATTTTTATTTCAGTGTTAACTGCTCAGCATCAAGAAAATGTGTGTGTCTTAAATTCTGAAAGTAAAAGAAAATAATGTCTTAAAAAATAGGCAGAAACAGGGATGAAGTAAAAGCACTTCTGATGCTGGTAATATTCATAGGCTCAGGAATTGGCTAGTTAAAAGAAACACAGAATTATTGGGGGTTGAATCTGGATCAAAGAGTAGTTTTAATTGTCCTCTGAAGTTATAAAATGCCCAGGTGGGCAGGTACCCATACCAGAGTCAGTGTCTTCTATACATAATGTCCTAGCGCAGCTGTTCTTACGTCCCCTAAAGAGTCAAGTGGACTGAGAAGGCTTTTTAAGCAACAGGCCTTACTCAGTAGTAAATAGACGGGTGTTTACTTGTTCGAGAGAACTTGCGGCTGTCTTTTAAAAACACAGTTCCCTGCCCCTCTTGTTTAGGTGACCTGCTCTGACCTTGAAAGTCGGCCTCTAGCCCCTCTGGTTCTCACTTGTGCCGAGAACATGGCTCTCAGTGTAGTCTGCCCACAGATACACAGTGACACCTCCTGTCATCCAAGGCTGCTCATCATCACCAAGTTGTGCAACTGGTTCGTGCTGTCAGGTTTAAAGTAATAAGGAACCCGTGTGTTCCCAGTGAAGCTGACAGTGAGCTAGCTGTCTTTAATACTACCGTTCAGGTGGCTTCCAAACCTAGCTCTTCTACTTCTCAGATGCAAGGCCGTAGTCAAAAGCAATGAAGAACTTTATTTCCAAAATCATGTATTTTTTTTATTTTTCACTTGTTCTAAGCCTGACTTGCTCCACGTGGTTTGATTTCACATGGCTGTGGCAGGAATTTTCTTGCCTGAGGAGGGAAGGCAAAGGGAGGTCAGAAGTGGAGGCAGACAGTACATCCATCCACTCACTCCCTGGATGTTTCCTGGAGGCCTGCGCTTTGACAAGCGCTGTGATGAACCAGAGGCATGGTGAGAGCGAGACAGTGAGGCAGAACATGCGATGACAGCGTGCGGTGAGGGCTGTGCAGATAGCAAACACGGTACGATAGCTGACGGGGTAGATGGTTGGGGTCCTCCTTCCCGAGAAGACAGCCAAGTAAAGCCTGAAGGCTGGCGACACCGTCCCAAGAGACAGAGTAGTGGAGAGAGGTACTAAAAATTAAGGTTAAGTCATATTTCCTATGGCTTTTTCTATTAATGGGTCAAGTTCATTCCCCAGCTCTCAAAAATCAAGATCCATTCCCAGTGAATAGGATACAACTTAAGGCTTGACCAACCACTTTTAGGCATATGTTACAAACACAGGGGATCACAGTATTTTATTTCTTTATTTCTTTAAAACCAAGGCCTGACATCATCCTATGTGAAATTCAGGGGCAAACAACTAGAAAGAAAAAACCTGAAAAGCTATCATCTAGAATTCTTTCATTATAGGTAACAGAAAACTCAACTACCAGATTAAATACATGGGGTTTATTTTTTGACCTAACACATGGGGTCAGGCAGTTCCATGGTAGGTTAACAGTGTCCCCCAAACACTCAGGGACCCGTGGTCTTCTTTCCAGCTGTCATCTTTGGCACGTTGTGGGCTCCCCCCTCATGGTCATGAAGTGGATGCAGCAATTTTGGGCACTACACTTTGGACACAGTGGTAGCCAGTGAAAGAAGAGGGACATTTCTTCTTAGGTTTCTTTTTACAGATGGGAACAATTTTTTTCCTTTTTATTGAATTTATTGGGGTGAAGCTGACTAACACAATTGTACAGGTTCCAGGTGCGCAATTTCACAGCACACACTGTAGGCCGCCCAGTGTGTGGAGAGCAGGAGCCTCTCCCCGTGCGCCGCGCCCGCTCACTCCCGCCTCCATTTCCCCAGTCTCACTGGTCAGGGCTCCGCCACAGGCCTCTGGCTAAACTAACTACTGTCCGGGGGATTGAGACCGCTCAAACCCTCTTAGGTTAATGACCCCTGAGTTTGGGAATAGGTGGGCCTCACCCTTGCGAAGCACATGAAAGGATGAACACCCAACAAATATCAGAGGGAGTTCAGCAAGGACCCAAAGGGGAGTGGACAGGAGGAAGGAATGGCCCTCGGGAGGACCAGGGGCCGATGGTAGAGGTGTTCCATTTCTCCTTAATCTTTACCCACAGCCTCATGAGGGGAAAGGAAGATAAATAGGAAGAAAACTGCTTCAGGCACCAAAAAACGTTGATTCCACCCCTATCAAGCATCCAGCACCAATGTCCCCTGGCTCCATGTGGCTCATATTGTCACTGTCCTTGGGGAAAAAAGGCTCTAGCGTATCACCTACCCTGAAAGCCCCAGGCTCTCCAGGAGGTTTAGGAGTCTTAGGACGCACCGAACATAGCAAGACTTGCAGGCCTTCCAGGGTCCTCTAGTGTGAACAGACCTCGTCCTGTAACTTGCCTTCCCTAATCAAGTTAGAAGAGAAGGTAACAAACTTAATTTTTGCTTAGAGTGGGCCTAGCACTGTTGTTGAATAAAAATGATTACAAAGGATCAAAATGATTAAATTTGTGAAAGTATGAAAGAAACATGTTCTCTTTCAAATCCTCTCAACAGTCAGATGTGGTATATATTTGTATTCCTATTCATAACAAACATTAAGAAACTGGCTAAAGTCACAAGCCCAATACAAAGAAGAGCCAGATTTTAAGCCTAGGACAGATGAATACAAATCACATCATATTTTCACTCTTCATGGCCGCCCCCCAGGGCTAAAATGCAGGCCTTCCCTCCCCCTGGCCATTATCTGACCACTGAGGCACAGTCCCCTGAGGTGTTTAAACTTCCTCTGAGAACTGGTTCCAATTAATGTTACTTGAACACTGAATCCAGCTTTCATGGTTCCGTAATTAGTTGGCATAGATGTAGCATTAAAAAAAAAAAAAAAAAAAAAGACTGGGAAGAGACACGTTGACACATTGCACTCTTGTTGGACGTCAATGTTTGACTTGGACCTACATGTCTGACAACTGACTATACCGCCTTGTGCCTTTGTCCTGCAGGGGATTTCCAAAGAAAGCCAACAGAACTGCTAGAATAGCCTCTGATGAGGAAATTCAAGGCACAAAGGATGCTGTCATTCAAGACCTGGAACGAAAACTTCGCTTCAAGGAGGACCTCCTGAACAATGGCCAGCCGGTACTAGAGATTTGTGGCCTGAACTTGGAATATTAGCTCCCCACATCAAAGGGCTCTTCCCTCACTTCACTAAGACTTAGGTTCTTAAGATTTGTCCACAAAATGGATGTTGTTGTTCCCGAATATCAACATTCCTCTTAGTATTGTGGCTTGAATCTGGGGAAAAGGGAGACAGTGAAATGGCTTCCTTCTCTTAGTCCCAAAAACTGATCTTGGAGCCGTGATAGCAAGTTGGAGATAGAGGAAGGAGGAAGGGCTGGCTTTAAGGTCTGGGTGGAACAAGTGAGGAGCTGTGATGTTAAGCAACAAGTCCCTGGAAGGGATAGGGGCTGGGGAAGCGGGGAGAAGGTGTGCTCTGCAATGATCTGTACCTACCCCAAAGCAGCGAATTGGAGTTCAAGTACTAAAAGGAGAATTGGGATTCTACAGCAGGCACTGCTTCTATACACACACAAAAAAAATAGCTTTACTAAGGGAACCATTGCTCACATACAGTTCTGTTCTACTAGACAATTTCAGATATTCACTCAGGAATCTGAAAGAGTGGGGGCTGTTTCCCGATCTTGCAGTGTGTCAGAGCAAGACACTCAAACTCAAGGGAAAAATAATTATGTTAGAAGGCTGCAGAATTGTAGAGAGGATAAGGAGAGCCGGTGTACTGCATCAAATGGAGGGTACTTTGAAGGTGACTAAAGTTTAAACCTGTAAGAATACACAATGTTTTATAAAGAAATTCTGGGTTTTTGGGGGTCCCCCCTCAAGTACATGTGTGTGTATATGTACACACATACACACGTTTTCTCCATTAGACTTTAAACGTTTTCTCATCAGTTTTTTGTTTGTTTGTTCTTTACTGACCCTTTTCTTTTCACATCAGAATATTTTAAGGGGAGAGGAAAAGCAAATCTAGCAAGTAAGATTTCCTGCGTAAAGGAAAGGAATTAGCGCCAGAAAGAATCTGCTTGGTTCTTAAGTACAAGAGTCCCTCTCAGACACCTTTTTGAAAGTAGAAATCTCTCTAAACTAATTATGTTTCCTGGGAATTTTAATTATCAAGCACTGATAAATAAAAATGTGAGAACAGACCATGTGCGGCTGGAAAGGTAGGGGATGAGGAGGATGCTGAAGGTGGGTTTTCGCTGGGAGGACACCCCTCCTGAGTCCAGGAGGACTAACATTCCAGCGAGATCCTGTGCTGGTTATTCATTTCACTGAGGGCAGATTTTCACAAGGGGAAAATGTTTTCTCCTTGAAATAAGTGACTACGTGTATACTGTACATATTCTAGAGGTTTTCTCTGGCTCTGTCAATGGAGGCCTTTGAAAGATTAAAACAAGTACTTGTGGGGGCTTTTTCAAGCCAGGTAAGGAAAGGCATGACTCCATTTTTTTGGTTTGGTTTTGTTTTGCTTTTTCCTTTTTGGTTGTTTAAATATTCCTTATGAACTAAAATTCTCCTGGTTAAAGACTTCTATAAGCTGTTATAGCCTACTATGTATATGTGCATAGTATTTTTATTTGCCTGTTATATATCATATATATAATATTGGTCTGTTTTGCAGTGAATGACGTTCACAGTAAGTCCCATAGATTTCCACACTGGAGAGTTTAAAAGGGCAATAAAAGTAAGGTTTCCCTTTTAGAAAACAGGACCCTCAGATAACTTTTTCCTACTGTTGCATGTTATTGTTACTTCATTTTGGCTTCCAAAGACAGGGCTTATGCATCCACGTAGCATTGTGCTTAGAAACAAAACTGTGGAGCAAATCTGGCTACTAAAGGTGCAGGTGCATCCTGGTGAAGGACTAGATACCAAGTGGTTATTTTTGTTCATAAGGAACAGAGTGGAAATTACTCCAGTCCTCCCTCTAGTGTGGGTCCAGTTCCATGAAAAGACATGCGGGGTGCTTTTAAGGGAGCAGGCATTAAAACTCTCTTTGAAAATTAAATGATGTTTTTAAGAAACATGAGAAAATGAATTTAAATAATAACATTCTGGACTGAGACACTCCATGCACCAAACACCTCTCCCCGTTCTTTATTAAATGAAATAATTTGAACCTCAGGACTGTTTGTCATTTGGCACTCGACTTGTTTCGATTCCTGGTTTCAACTGGGACTGGAACCAGCAATTACTGGAAATTGCAAATTTACCCAACATATTTTTCTGATTAGAGAGTTTCCAATAGAATTTGTTTCTATATTCAGAAGTTTGGAAGTTTATCTGAAAAAATTTCTGTTTTTTTTTTTTTTTTTTTTTTTAGATTTCTGCCTTACTAATTATTGTAAAATGCCTCTAATGGGGCAAATGGTCCCCTAAATTTCACCTCAGACCTATAACCTAAGGCATGTTGAACCAACACTCAAGAGCAGAAATCAACCTAATACACAGAATAAAAATGTTCGCATTTCTTTTGTATAGGAATGGCCTAGCAAAATGGTTTTGGCCAAATCCAAAAGCACTGGTTGCTAGATGCAAATGCATTACTACTTTCTTTGCTTGATAGGCAAGCTGTCTTCCTCTGAGTAGATCATGGAGGTTTGCATGAAGAAGTATCTTTCATACTTCTTTTGCTAACTCAGCCATGTGCAGTCATTTTTTATGGATCAGTGGAATCTCAGTTCTCAAACTTAATTCGTTCTGGAAAACTGCAAGAAGTGATCTGTTCAAAAACCAAATCTCCTTTGTCTGTCGCCTGAGATACATGACTGATCATGCAGGTATGGCATGAAAGGCTGTTGGGTAGAGAATCAAAACCCAAAGCTTTGTTAGACAACCAAGACATTTTTTCCATGAACAACTTAGTCCAGAACCGAATTGTTTGAGAACCATGATGTTCGAGAACCAAGATGTTCAAGAGCTGCGGTTTGACTATCTGCCTACGTTCACCTAGGGTACACAGCAGCTTAGAAAAATGCTCTTAGAGGAGAGACCCCAACGCAGAGAGAACCGTCACTGCCAGCTGGTCTAAACATATGTTCAGGAAGTTTATGACACATTTTCTATGCGGTTCTGCCTTGTTGCTTATTTGACTCACCATAAATTTGTGTTCTATCAGTTAATGGCTTTCAAGACTCGTTACCCCATCTCCCAGACTGGGCCATTGGGACCAGAAGGGGACGCAAGAGGTGGGACAACGGAAGCGGAGGACAGAAGCAGGCTCCTTTTATACACAGGTGTCTAAGGTGCAGAGAGACGTAGTAACAGAAAACAGCAACACTTGTTTGTTTGGGTTTTTACAGTTCTTTTTCGTGAGAAAATCTATAATTGTGATTTTTCTAATTTTGCATTTTGTGCGATTTGCTTTGTTTAGAGGTTAACATATGAAGAGAGAATGGCTCGTCGGTTACTAGGTGCTGACAGTGCAACTGTCTTTAATATTCAGGAGCCAGAAGAGGAAACAGCTAATCAGGTACCACGTTGCTCTGGGCTTCTTAGAGAAATAACAATTACTATGTCTCCTCTCCCCATGCTCTTCATGGACACTGTTTTGGGGATCAGTTCTGTGGAAGGTAGAGGGCAGGTCAAAGAGCATTATTTTATTAATATTTGTTGAGCACATACTCTGTGCCAGACATTGTGTTAAATGGCGGATAGAGTTATTTCAGTGGTATCTGTTCTGTTTACCTTCTTACTGATCAGTTTACTTTCCTTTCAAGTATCTTTCTGTTTTTTTCTGTCCTGTGCTTTCATGCAAAAGAGTTTTGTGGGAATAATTTATTTTCCCTGAAATTGTTTGAAATAGCTACTGACTATTTCCAGTTACATTTTTAATATCTAGCCAAAGTAAAATATCTATGCATGGAAAAAACTTTATTTTCCTTCACTTATATAGTTGTAAATCACTAATCAGCAGAAAACCTAAAATGCTATTTTTGTTCTCCTGCTAGCACTAAAAAAAGTCACTTCATGGATTCGATGTCAGCCATTTGCAATCCCCACTGCTCCTGTGTGGTTTCCAGATGTAGCCTCCATAGTAGAGAAAGTTTTTTAAAACAAATTTAAAGGATCAAGTAAACTTTTTCTCTTGTCTATTGAGAAATGGATCTGAAAGTTTTTCAGTGTTAAATATAGCTGCCACCAAAAATCTTACTTAAAGAAAATGAGCAAGCTTGCTAGATTCTTATTATTTCTATTATTAGTCTTCACTCCTTTTTTTTCTACCATTACAGGAAATTGAGTCTCCTCATGCTTCTGTAGGGAGTCCTCTGGATGGTCAAAAGGTTAAGCTTTTCACCTTTCTTTTCTTTCCAGTCTTTCACTGTGTCTATTTCCTTATGCATCCTTGTTTACCTGCATATCTATCTTTACTGCCATATATAAATTATAAATATTGTGACAGTGTCTACTTTAATACCAGATGAATAAAATTACTGTGATGTGATTTTTCTTGTCATTTATTACAAGCTTGAATTTGATTGTCATTAGTGGATACTTGAACTTTAAATTGTGAAAATTTTCTCATTGTTATACCTTTCTTGGAAAAAGCACAAATTCTTAAAACTAATTAAATTGATAGTGATTAGACAAAACAAAACAACCTGTGCATTTTTTGCAGTTTTAGTCATAGTGTTGCATTTCTTTTCTCAAGCCAACAAACTTTTCAAGGGTTGAGTGACTTCTTTAAGAGGAAGCCTAGGTAAAACAGTCTTTTATTAACATTTTATAACGGGCTGCCTTGTCTTCGCTGTATTTTTCTTTGTAAGCTAGCAACTGTAGCATCCACCTTAATCACCGTAGGATGACAATGGGGTCTTTGCTTTGCTTTTGCTTTTTTAGCCAATATTTTTATTGGACTGCTGATCCTATTTTTCTTTTAAAGAGCATGGGAAATAGTTCCTAATAGCTGCAGAGCTGAGGGAAGGTCCAGAGGCTATGTGGCTGAGGGTTGAGCGAAAACAAACAAACAAACATGGTGCCATTTTTCCCCCATTATTTGTTTGATAAAATGCTGTGTAATACTGCAGCTGCTCGCCACATGTGCTGGTATTACCCTTCTGGAGACAGGCACCACCCTGCATCAGCTTTTACCCTCCAGAAAGAAACCAATGTTCCACGTGCTTTATTTTTATGAACAGTTTAGGAAAATATAGCCGTTGCCTTTTCTGTCTGCATCCGCCCAAAAGAACAGAGAAATTCAACTTCATAATTTTGGGGGAGGGGCGGGGGGGTTGATGAAGATAATTTGAAATACCATCTATACTTCCAGATTTTTTTTGTTTCATATGGAACTGAAGTGGGCTCAGATTGTTGTTAGGCTATGGGGTGAAAATATCGCTGTCTTCTAAGTGCCCTGTTGGAGAGGGGAGTATGACTCATGACGTTCTGTACCACAAAGGACTGAGGCTGTTAACATGATCTTGCTCTGTTTGATACAGGAATACAAAGTCTCCAGCTGCGAACAGAGGCTCATCAGTGAAATCGAGTACAGGCTAGAAAGGTCTCCTGTGGATGAATCAGGTGATGAAGTTCAATATGGGGACGTGCCTGTGGAAAATGGAATGGCACCGTTCTTTGAGATGAAGCTAAAACACTACAAGATCTTTGAGGGCATGCCTGTAACTTTCACATGCAAAGTGACTGGGAATCCAAAGCCAAAGGTGAGCTGAAAACATGGCTTTTTAAGACTCCTATTTTCTGAGGAAGAGTTTAGCTTCCAAAATACAACAAGTATGTTAGGAGAAAGAGATACAAACTAAATACCCATGATGTAAACTATATGAAGTACTGTATGTTCAAGGCCGACTTCAGGAGGCACTGGAAATCAATAAGGGTAGAACAGGGGTGTAGTTTGGGTTTGCAGAATAGAATAGAGCAGAACAGAAACAGAAACTGAATTACTGACAAGGAACTTTTCATACACCTACATCATTTACTCATGTGATGTCATCGTTGTTACTCCCAAATTGCAAATGACTACCCTAAGCTCAGTGAGGTTAATTTACACTCCCAAGGGAGAGAGCTGACGAGTGGCTAGGCTGGAACATGAACCCAATGCTCTGTACCACACAGGAGGTATGCTTACCACTAATTATAAAAACTTCGGATCTTTAATCTACAAAACCAAAACTTCCTATACTTACAAAGTGTGGGCGGGGGGCAGGGGGCGGGAGAATACTATTGAGAAAGGATAATCACAGGAACATCTGGCTCTCAGGTGGACGACGCTGACCTAGCTGGGCCTCTCCCTTCAGATATGGGGGTAAAGAGTTGCCCTCTCTTTAAAGGGAGGCTGGAATAACTCAGTAGCCCAGCAAAGCAGTAACAGGATTACACTTTCTCCTAAAACTTGAGAGCAAAGAATAAAAAGAAACACCCATGAGAAACTGAAACTTCAGATTTACACTATCTATCACATGATATAGAGCCAAAAGCTGAGAAATTAATAGGAAACAGTCCAGGATGACTGAAATCTTTAGGTTTCTGGTAGAAGAAATTTTTAAAGAAATACAAAGTTTAAAAAAAGAACATGACAATACCAAAGACAGGGCAAATATATAGAAGAAGCATACAGAAGTGAAAAGTGCATTCTGAAATTAAAAGCGTAACAGCGGTGGAAAGGGGCCGAAATGAGTCAGTCGGATGGGAGGGGGACGGCGGCAGAGCGGTTCCCGACACTGTGTGTGTCGGTCCGGGCCGGTCTGCTTTCTCACTGAGGTAAGTTTTACCACCACCATAGTCTTTCCCTAAAACCAAATTCCAGCCCCATGGTCAGAGAAACAGAGGGTGGGGAATGCCTGAAATCTTCAAACCCATATCCTCCCCCTAATAAAAGGAGACGTTTAAATAAACCGTTATTAGAGAAAAATGCCTTTATTATATTCTTGACATAACTTGGATAATTGCTGTGTATGCACAAACATGATACTGAGCACATGTATTAAAAATAAACTTGCAGCCTATGAATGAAACTCTAACAAGAAATTGTATCTTGAACTTCACCAAAAGATGCCACGTTATTTTAAGTCTTATTCAAGGCTTAGGATCACTGATATATTTCTAAGATTATTCCGTATATCAGCTTGAGGATGGGCTGTTGTTCATAGTATAACTTTTTTCTAGTACAAGTTTAAATGTTTCACAGCTTTAAGAGTATTAGTTTTTTTTAGAGCTTTTTATTAGGCTTCCTCACACTTCCTCCTCCTCCCTCCTTGCCTCACTGCTGCTCTTTTTCTCTCTCCACACGCCCAGTTCATTGAAGAACTGTTTTTTCTGCATGATATATAAATTATTAAAGTGTGGAACATTCACTATATTTTTAAAAATATACCCTTTTTTATTATGCACTTGACATGCTTGTTCTGAGACATGAGGAGACTGGAAAGAATTTCTAACTCACACCGTTTTCATTTCTTGCCCCCCCACCCCCATTAGCAGTCTTGGTAAAATGTGGGAACTGTTTCTTAAATTTCATTTGAAAGTTGTATTCCAAGTATAATGGAGGTGAAAAACATGATTAAAGGGAAGAAGAAATGATTTGAAGAACTGGCATAGTAGCAGAATGCAAACAAAAGAACTGCACACTAATCACAGCTTCTTTGTTCTCTCAGCCACCATGAAACCACCAAGAATATAATAATTATGAAGTATCATGCTTTGTATAATTTAATTATTAGAAGTAAAAGTTTAGTCTAGGTGATTAATTTTTAGGTTCTAAAAATTAAAATTTTAGAGATTAAAAATATAATTTTGGTAAATTAGGAACTAATAAAAAAAAACTGAGGTAGGAAAGTTAGAGCACTCAGACCCTGACCATTCATGCACTTATTTAGTGATGCAAGTTTCAGGCCTTTTCTTACCTGAGAAACATATTTCAAAAAGATTTTTTAGATTCAAAGTCTTTGACAGGGAGTTGAACTTGAATACCAGTTGTGGACTCCATCTGCATATTGATTCATATTAAGGAAAAATTCATTTTAAAGACTAATGGTTCTAAAGTAGGTTTTTTTCTGATAGGAATCAATTAGGAATGCTCTTGGTTGCAAGGAACAAAACTGACAACAAAGAACTTGTTGTGGCTTAAAACAGGGAGATTTCTCCCCTCGCGCTAAGTCTGCAGGTGGGTTAGAGCAGGCTTTAATTCAGCATCTCAGCCCGATTAGGCTGCTGGCACTGCGATTCATGAGTCATGATGGTGGCCCTGTCTTTCAACGGCATAGTTCAGAAACTAAATAAAAAATAGTAACTAAATCATGAGAGGTATATTGGCCAGCGATCTTGTTTAAAGGGAAGGAAGATGTATGGAAAAGGTCTTTGACCATTTAAAAATATTTTTATTGTGTCAAGATTCATTTTTACTTTACCGCTATCAACCCAAGTTTAAATATGATTTGAAAATTATTACATTTAAATACTACTGTGTTTTCTTTAACATAATGGGAAGAGCAGGCAAACCTTCAACGGTTGATCTTATGCTCCTTGATCCAGAATAAAAGCAGCCGAGTCCCACCGCCACCGACCCTTAACTGCTGCCTGCCTCCTCACCACCCTGTCTTCTTTGTCCAACACAGTTCTGCCGACCGATTAGAGAGAGGGGTCTGTTATTCTCTAAAATAACATTTTTATGTCCACTTTACCAGTAATACATTATAATTCACTACTTCTGAAAATAGGAGCAAAAACAATTACTGTCAAATGCAATATAGATCCATCTATATAAATAATATATGAATATAAATACCTTACATACATATTTTTAAACATAAAAGGAGGGTGTAAAATTTTTTTAAACTAAAATAGAATTATATTTGCTTATTATCTACTTTTTTCACTCAAAAATCAATTTCTTATTCAGATGTTCTGGTTAACATTATAATGTGAACACTCAGATCAGCTCTGCAGACTGCACAGTTATTATTTATCAGCACCCCAGACAGAGTGGTATTACATACAGCCTTAACTGTTAATCTTTGTTTCTTTTCACAGATCTATTGGTTTAAAGATGGAAAGCAGATCTCTCCAAAGAATGATCACTATAGCTTTCAAAGAGATCCCGACGGGACCTGCTCTCTCCACACCACGGCCTCCACCCTAGATGATGATGGGAACTACACGATTATGGCTGCAAACCCTCAGGTAAAGAAGGGCGCAGGTCTTGCTTCAGCTGTGTACACCTGACCCTTGAACAACACAGGTGTGGACTACACAGGCCCGCTTGTGCATGGGTTTTCATCAGTAAATACTGTTAGGTGTATTTCCTCTTCCCTATGATTTTCTTAACATTTTCTTTTTTCTAGCTTACTGTATTGTAAGAATACAGTATATAATTCAGATAACACACAAAATATGTGCTAATTGACTGTGTTCTCGGTAAGGCTTGCAGTCAACAGGAAGCCGTGTTGGGTGAGTCGGAAGTTGTATGCAGAGTTTCCACTGTTGGGGTCAGCGTCCCTAACCTCCACGTTGTTCGCGGGTCCGCTGTAGAGTGCTAACAGGCATTTATTTGAACAGAGGAACGAAAGGTGCAATCATACCTCTTTGACTTGAAACTATTTTCCCAATTTCTACATCAATCTTGGTTTTGGGGGGATAGAAAAATTCTGTTTTTCATGACGGTTTACCAGGAGTTTTTCTATATGAATAATTCTGAAGCAGGTACACATTCTTTGCATAAATATTATTGAGGGCCTAATATACACACCCATTATATAGGTGATGGAGTTGCAGGGTGGGAAAGACAAAGTCCTGAAACAGAAAAAATGCCAGTAAACAAAATAAATTAAAACATAAATAATATCACTTCAGAGATTAATCAGCTGACTACACAGAATTTAATAGGCAGCTACCTGGGTATCATGGTTCCATTACCAAGACTGCGAATTCTTTTTTATTGAATATCTGATATATTTTAGGCACTATGCTGGGTACATGGGACACAAAAATGAGCAAGAAATGGTGGTGTACCTGAAGAGCTCCATGTGTGACAATTTACAAAGCCTGCAGAAATGTAAATAAGATGCTTTGTTCAATCAATGAATACATGACCATCACTTTGAAAAAATAGCCAAAATCACATTTACCAAAAAGTTACATTTTAATGTTTATTTGTGTTCATGTATGGTATATTTGAGGGAACTAAAGTGGAACTTGTTTTTTTTTTTTCCTTACTATATTTGCAGTATCTTTCCTTGAATATTGACAAGTTTCAATTTTCAGTTCTTTGTCTATTTAAAAGTGACCTCAAGAAAATCCAAAACATTTCTTCACATTGGGGTCTTTATTCCTCTTTCCCCTTGAAAGGCTGGGATATATTACGGAGACAGAATTAACTGTGTTCCTTAAACACTTACCAGTACTGTGATCCTTCTGATGATTTCGAGGCATTTTTCCCTGGCAAATGTTTTAAACTGTTACTGGAGTAGGCAATTTTATAGAACAATATAACAAAGATGTAAAACTGTGACTGTGAGTCTGCTTCTAGTCTTCTTCAAATTATACTAATTTCTACATGAAGACAAGTTCTAAGGCAGACGGTCTCCCCGCTCGGGGCCAGTGGCAGTGTGCAGGGGCGAAGACAGCAGCCCAGCCCCGGGGGCTGGTGGTCTTGGGCACATAAACCATTTATAGGCCGTGATGGGTCACTAGATGCAAGAGGGCTGCTGAAGATCCCCCTTGTCAACACAGACAAGGAGGAAGGGTCACAAATCGGAAGAATGAAGTGCCGCAACACAGACCAGAACTGCAGAGCGATCCTGATGACACTGGAAAGCCCAGGAGGTGTCGTGCGGGAGTGAACTTCAGCGGCAGGCAGACCTGAAGTTCCAGCTCTGCCGCTCCCGACCCGTGCGACCTTTATAGCAACTCCCTGAACCTGTCTGTTCCTGTTTCCTCTTCTGTGAAATGATAATAATGATATGGATTTAAACAATCCATGGAAAGCACTCAGTTTACCTGGTACATCTTATGCTTTCTATAAATGCTAGTTACTGTCGTTACTTTATTTCAAAGACACGAGCGACCCTGTCTGAGAGCAGCAGCCGCCGCACAGCTGGCAGACACCTGTGGAGCCAGGACATAAAGGGCCAGCTCTGTTGCTGGGTAGCCCACGCCCACAGAACCGTGAGAGAGTGAGCAAGACAATCTGGGACGGACCTGCTACCCAAAACGTTGCTGGTGTGTGGTCCTCTGACCTCCTGGCTTTTCCTTTTTACCGCCCCATGGGAAAGGAGTGAGGCGGCAGATGCGGCTGTGCCACCGGCGCCACAGCTGCGGGCTCCCGCGGGGCGGGGGCACCCCCCAACCCGGGCTGGAGCGCAGGCCCCGCCCACAGCGCAGCTGGAGGAGCCACCCAAGAAGCTGGGAGGCTGCAGGCTGCTCCCAGCAGCTGAGCCCAGGGAAGGGCTCACCCCAGGAAGGGCCGCGGTGAATTCTGCCGCTCACCTAATCCCAGGATAAGCCCATGGTTAACCCTCTCTGGGTCTCTGACTCCACCACCCTTTGGAGAGAAGACAGAGAAATAAGAAGTGGACCGGGTTACATCAGGTAGCCACAAGCCCAGCCCTTCCAACACAGCACGCCACCTCACCTGTGATTCAGCAAAGAGCGCTGTGGCTGCTCCGAGGGAGCAGAAGGTCACAGGGCCCAGGGGTCACAGCGAACCAGCACCTAAGTGCCTAATACCTGGAATACTCACCGTCTCTCAAGGGTAACAGATCCACCCTTGTTCTCTCTGAAGAGGCTGGGGCTAAAAATCTCCTTTTCTACCTAAATGAGCAAAGGCAGGCATAGGAGGGGCCTCAGGAAGAGAATCTAAGGGAAACCCTGAAAGTGGGCATCGAGATCTGAAATTGAACTTGTTGTAAGAGAATTTTATGTTTATATCACTTAGTAGCAGTTAGTTGCTGTTCCAATTTTTAGAGCACGTGGCCTGGTTGATTTGTTTTAGACAGTAAAACCCCTTTTCTACCTCAGGGTCTTCAATAGCAGGCACATCCAAAAATGCCCGATGTGGGTTCTGAGTCATCACCTTGAATCTGGATGTAACTTCACTGCCATTAGAAAAACAAAGTGGCATTTAAGCCGTGACAAGTGGCAAACCACTTTCTACCTGATCCTTGGTATTAGTTACCATCTGTTGGCTTAGGGATACTGTAACAGCAATGCTTACTAGTGTCACAACCTCCACTTTACGATGTCTGTGACTGTATATGAAAACACTTGGTCATTCTTATGCTTCTTTCAAATCATGTTTTAATTTGCAAATTATAACATAATAGGCTCTGGAAAAAATTTCAAAAGTAAAAACTGTATTTTTCAAGATATATTAACCCCAGAAGCATAACACGCAGTTGGCAGATAACCGGAGACGACACCCTACTTCCTTGATGCCCTGGGTTCGCTCACATTTTTTTTCACATTTCAGAAGTTTGGGGTTTGAAAAGGAGACAACTACACCTGTTTTTTCTGGCGTACTGCAGCCTGCGTGGTGTGAGACGGCGAAGGGCAGCGGGAAGGGCGGCAGCGGGAAACGGGGTCAGTAAAGAAACACAGGGAGCAGGGCCTTCCTGCGCAGCGGCAGATAAGGGCAGAAAGCCGCCAGAAGGGAAAGGGTGAGACCCACAGGAGGAGGAAAACACTGCAGTTCATCAGAATATTTTATAGAATATTTTTCCACCTGGGCTAGTCTTTGGGGAATCAGCGATGCGTTAGGAATGGCTGACTACATCCAAATTCAACTTGGGACAGAACACACAGCTCTAACACACACTGGACTGTGTGTATCACACTCACTGTGTGCCGCTCAGGCAATTCATGGGAGACCACGCAGTCACATAGTTTAGTGAAATAATGAGTGATTGTGCAGTCTTACACCAAACGTAATGCCAAAATGAGGATCACAAATACAATTTATTTTAGACTGTAATCCTATCTTTAAGACAGAACTAAATCTAAACACGAATGTTTTACTTTGTTTTGTTGTGTTGCTAAGTTACTCTGTATTGCACTTAGATTTTGGACTTGTTTTGCAAGTTTGATGTTTCCTAAAATTGCAGTATGTATACAAGTGGCAAGCTTCAAAAAGATCTGTGTGCCACAAGTGAAACTGCATAAACTAGGAAATATAAATGTTATTTCCATATTATACAAATAACTGGCCTTGCCCAGAGCATCAAATAATCTTTACAAGCTGGATGTTTAATACAGAATATCTTTAAAAATTCAAACTTATTACTTGTACTATAGCTTTAAACTCTGTGAATTTGTTTGGAATAGAAAAGTAACACACAGCTGAGTTAAATTTAGAACGATAGTTTGTTGATTGTGTTTTGTTTTAGCATTATAAGGTTGCCTGGTTCATTTCAAGCTTCACTTTAAAAATTCACTTCCATTATTAATTCACATGTGAATAATAAAGCAGAAAGAAGTGAGAAAGTCAACAGCGAATGCAACTGCATTCGTGTGCACCAGAGGCAGTTACTAGGGTTAACTGGCACATTAGTATGACTGAAATTATTTAATGCTGATATTGTATGATCTTCGTAAGTGAAACAGTCAGGCCTAAAAACCTGAACTTTCAATTGGGCACATTGAAGGCATCTTTTCAAAAGTGCTTCACTGAATTCTGGATTTTTTTCAAATTAAAATGTCAAAATTATAGACTTGTTAGTTTGGATGCTTTTTAAATGTTTCTAGTCATGTATTGATTAGTAACATACAGAGGTAGGCAGAAGCAGATTTACAGTTATTCATATGAAAATAATTCATAAGAATAAACTGTTTCGTGTACTCACAACTATAAACCTACTCTTACCTCACCCTGTAGTTAACCAATACTGCATTATCAAACTAATAATTCTGCTCCCAAAGGCCATACCTTTCCCCTTTATGTTCAGAAGTGAAGAATGATGCAGGAGTAGAAAGACTACACATGGTTAACACATTCCCTTTTCTTAAATTTGGGAAGCTAAGGAAATATCTGTGGCAGTATTTGTGTATATGGTTCTAAGAAGTAGCAATGAAAATCTTGAAAACATTGTAGAAATGTGTAATGTTTGGAGTAGTATGCCAGCCTGTTTACTTTTTTTTTTTTTTTTTTTTTTTTGAATAGAGGAGAGGAGGCAGGGCTTACCTAAGAACAGTCAAATGGTTAGAGTGGAGGAGAGTGTCTTTCATCTTATAACTCAAATGGAGCCATCACACAAATACCTTGAGTATGCTGTGTGCTTGGCACCTTTCAGGCACCAATAAAAGGTAAAAAAGTCGATCTACACTCCACATATTCTGCCCCCTGTGCTAGGGGTATGCTGCTGCTGCTGCTGTTGTTGTTTTTCTTTTTCTTTTGGAGTAAATACATGCTAGTAAGAAAGAAAAAGAGAGAGAGGGAGGGAGGGAGAGAGGGAAGGAAGGAGACCAAGAGAGGAAAAAAACTCCATTACATGGAGAAAAAATGGTATTTAACAAAACAATTCTAAGGGATGGCTCCATAACCATTGACTTTTTATTATATCTATAGTCAGTGTCATAATAATTTAACATCCTGAGCACTGACTATACACAAAACAAGTATTTTGTGCCTAGTAGTAACTCATTTATTCTTCATAAGGACCCATGAGGGATTACCTACATGGTTCCATTTTACAGACAAACTTACTTAGTTAAGTTACCTGCACGAAGTCACTCAACTATAAAGGATAGGGCTGGTTTGCACACCCAGACTGACTCCAGAGCTAGGGAGCGTCTTACGCAGGGGTCTGGGCCTCACCCCAGCCCCGCGAGCGCTGAGGGGCAGGGGAGGCATTCGTTAAAAGAGGCGTTTGAAAGAATCCAAAAGCAGGAAGTAAGAGCATACCTTAAGCAAAGTACATCCACTTGGGAAATCTGCCTGGGGCCAGCCAAGCTGCTGAAGCCCCTGAAGATCACCTCAATGCACGTCCAGGCACCCACAACGTCTCAGCCCCACAGCAGGGACACAATACTCGCAGTGGCGGATTTCTTTACAGTAATTTATGAGAGCGGGCACAGCAGTCTCCCTTATCCACAGTTTCCAAAATTTCAATTACTGTGGTCCAAAAATATTGAATGGAAAATTCCAGAAATAAACAACTCATAAGCTTTAAATCATGTACTGAGTAATGTGATGTCCCACTCTGTCCTACCTGGGACTTGAACCATCCCTCTGTCCAGCTTCCCTTTGTCCAGCATGTGCTGTATGTACAATACAGTAAGATATTTTGAGAGACCATTATTATAGTACATTGTTATAACCATTGTTTTGTTACTAGTTATTGTTGTATTAATCTCTTTCTATTCCTAATTTATAAATTAAACTTTACTATAGGTATAAGGAAAAACCACAGCATGTATAGAGCTTGGTACTATCCAAGGTTTGGGGCCTCCATTGGGGGTCTTGGAATGTATCCCCTGTGGATAAGGGGGGACTACCATACCATTTGATATTTATAATATCATCTTAGGTTGTATCATTCAATCTTTACAAGGTTCTCATGAGCCAGACCCCAGTTTTTACAGAAGAAGAAACAAAGGCTTAAATTAATTGAGTGATTTCGTCAAATTTTTAGTAAGTTCAACACCCAAATCCAGGTTAGAGAGTTTTTTTTAAGCAACCAATACTAGCTTTCCCAAATTCAAGGTTAAAGATTTATGTACTTTAAGTTGTAACTTTTTCTAACTACATAAATGATTAGTTAATGTTGACTTTCCTTATGGATCCTCTGAGCTTTAAACCATAAGGGGAAAAAAAATCTATGTAAATTATACAAATCTATCCAAATTAAAATTATTTTTTGAAGCAGCAAAGCAAATAGTAAGGAAGCCATATCCCATATATCGGTACAGTTGAAAGTATTTGTATAAAACAAAACATGCACTGCCTTCCTTGTCCTCAAGCTCCACAGAGAATCGTGGCCCTTAGATGTTCATTTGTTAAAGTATCTACTACAACGTGTCAGTGGGTAGTTTATAATGGATGTCTTCTAAGCAAGTCACATCTAGACTTTTTATAGCAAATATAGATTTGGAAGGGTTAGATGAAATTATTTTTCAGACTTCAAGGAAACCCTCAAACCTTTAGGGAATCATAAGGGTTTGCCGAGAACTCGCCATATGAGAAGTTATATGATGTGACCTGAACTTCAGCTGCACTTAATCTAAATTAGAAATAATTGCCTCTTCATAATGTCACACTTCACGCAGTGTTTTAACTGTGACATTGACAGCAAATATTGTGAATGCTAGAGAAATTTACGTATCTAATTGTATAAAGACTGCTTGAGAGAGTTTCTTACGACCACCTCTTTCTGGTTGGTGATTCCCAGTCCCCCTCCTGTCTGTATTACTACATTCCTGTGCGCCTGCGCCTCTTCTGCGTGGTTACGGCCCTCCACAAGTCCAGGCTCCGGGAGGACCGGAGAGCTCCGTTGACTGGGTTCCTGCCCCTCGTTGAATCCTGCTATGGGGTTTTTCCTCTGTGTTCCCTCTACCAGTGTCCTCTCCCTCATTCCAGCCCACTCTCAGTTGAAATTCAGAAAGCAGTTCTTCAAAATACACAGACCACCTCCTGTCGCTGCTACCTGTCTATACTGGCAAGTTGGAATGAAATTAGAAGTCAATGGTAAATTTTATTTGGACTATGAATGCACATGGGGGCTGCTCTTCAACCTTGAGCTAGAATTGCCTAAGTCTAATCAATAATAAATCTGCTTCTCATTTTTCCTTCCTTCCTGTTCCCCTTCAGCCATTGCCAGAATTTGTAAGTACATCCGCTCATTCTCCTGGGAGATGAGAGGAGAAGGTACAGGAGAAAATCATCCAATTTGCTACTCTGCTTATAATAGTGAGGGGAAAAAAACAGAAGGGGCTAACACAAAAGGCCAAAGTAACAATGGGTGATTTATTCATGTCACCTGGGTCTTGTAAATATTACTTTTGTCTAACCGCATATCACAGTGTTTATCAACTTTGCAACTGGCAAATTTCAGAGAGAAAATATAGCTTTTCATTAGATAGGCCCTTATCACAGGGCCCACGTATTTTTGGTACGCAACTGCCTCTGGTCTTTAAATCTCAAATGTGTTCATTCCGTGCAGACATGGCACCCTACATGCGTCACGTTCCCCGTGTCACCGCGTGCACACTTACTTCATTATGCTCGCTGTCATGCTGGCATCTCTTTCCATATATGGCTTTTGGAAGGGATGCCACTAACATTGAATAAGTATATTACTGAAAAGATCTAACAGAGAACTAAAATCATCTAGTTTGATTTCGAAATTAGATACAACCAGTGGCTATTTGACCATGAAAATGGAATCATCACAAGACAGTAATGTCCTGCTACTACATTTTACAACTCAACTTCATTAGGGAGACTTAGCAGATTACAATTAATTCAATGAGGGCTGTCATTTTAAATACTACTCCTGATTTTAAAGAAGTAAAGCTTATTTAACTTACAAAAAGTGTATTTCTGAGAGGGCTGGTGTCATGACAAATATTGCATATTGATTTGTTAATAATGTCTTATGGAGAATAGGAGTATAAACAGATAGTGCTTAACAGTTATTTTTGCAGAGCAAATAATTTCTTTTCCCGATGTCTCTGGCAGGGCCGCGTCAGTTGCACTGGACGGCTGATGGTGCAGGCTGTCAACCAAAGGGGTCGCAGTCCCCGCTCGCCCTCAGGCCACCCTCATGTCAGAAGGTATTTCAGATGTTCCTTTCCATAGGTGTTACTATTAATAATTTCAACATTATTAGAATCATGGTGACCATAAAAGTCAACATAGTTTGAAAACAGAATGTGGATACAACCTTAAAGTGTGCACAGTGTATGGCTCACTGATTAGGTTCCTTGATTACACTTCTTTGCAATTCAGGGGATTGGGACCAAACATTGACTACCGTGTGCTAAGCCTTCTCAAATTCACCATCATTAGTTTGTTAAATAGGGCCCAATTTATACATGAAGAAATCAAAACTCAGCACCTCTCAATGGCAGACATTAATGAAAATACTAGTAAATGCTACACCAATGTTTAATACCAAGAGCTGTATGGGTTGACCATTATAAACTACTACCACTAGGTTTCTTAAAATCATCTAGCTGGCTAATGTTCATTTTTCAGTTACTTAATTCAACACAGTTTATTTTAGACCATAATTTTATAAGATTTTTTTCATATTTTAAATGCTCAACAAATATCTGCTAACAGTAGAGTGTGCTTCTCCATCCCTAGTAGCCCTGAGTTTATGCAAAGAGGCTGATGGAATAATAAGAGGCAGGGATGGGGAGAGGGTACTACTACTTAGTAACACATCTGCACTTAAAAAAGAACATGGTAAGTCAATCAGCCTTTCATCCTGGGTACCTATTTAGATATTTTACAGACGGAGAATGTTCAAATAGTCCTGACTGTAAAATAGAGGCTACAGATGCAAACACCTTTGGCGAAGAGAACAAATCCTGTAAGTTAGGCTCACAGAAGGTACCCAGGAAGAACTGAGTGACACCAAATAAATGGTGTGTCTATACCGCCTCATGTGGTAAGACTCACAGAGCCCTTTGTTCAAATTTGGAAGACAATTCTGGCACCTAAGCATAATCAAATTTAATTCTAACTTGTTTGTGCTAGTATCTGTTCACAGGATCCTAGGCCTGTATCAATGCCTGCAACACACATTTAGTAGCGTATCCATTCTCTTGTATTATTTTCTTCTGCTTTTCTTATGGTCTTCAATATATTTAAGCTTTCCCATTTGCCATTGTCTCCTAGAAAAGCTTTTTGTTAAAAATTAGATCTGTACTTGTAGAAGAATAAGCTATATAAAAAAATCCAATAACCATTAGCCTCTTACACCAATCTTTCATTTGTTCCACTCTTTCTGGTTCAGCGTTTTTGGACTTCTAATTATTACAAGGCAGAATATGCATTCAACATCTTGCTCTGAAGTCCTCCCTGCCATTACTTTAAATATATTGCTCTTAAAGGTGCCTCTAGTAACGTACTTTAAGAACAAGAGAAATACACAAAATCTGGGAGATCTGCATAATTTTATTTGAAAGCCAAAAAAAAAAAAAAAAAGTGCCTTTAGGTACATGGATAACTGATGTAAAATAAAACTTGCCTTAATAAGTACTTTATTTTCCTTGTTAATGTGAAAAGGAATTTTGATTAGAAAGATATTTAATTTTTATAAAATAATAGGAACTTTTAATTTCTGATACATTTAAAATCACAATGGAAAGTTACAGTAATTTCTATTGAAAAAAGATTTGGTAATGAATTAATTAGCAACAGCTGCTGCAATTTCTCATACAGCTTTAATATTTATTTAGGAAAAAACAGGTTAATGTAGAAAACCCCATTATCTCCCATTTATCCTTTTAAGATTTATACTAGGTTTAAGGATGAGGAGAGCAGAACTCTTTAAGATCTGCAATTAGCAGACTATTACATTTATAGTAAACTTCCAAAAGAAACAAGATTTTGCTTTGCTGACTTTTTTTCAACATAGACCTCAGGGGTAGAAATCTGGTTAGGGTATTATATTATTACCCCATGTATTAATTTAAAAAATAGATGACTAAGAGCCTGAAAATAACTGCTGTCTGTCTGTCTTGTTCTAAGGCCTCGTTCTAGATCAAGGGACAGCGGGGATGAAAATGAACCAATCCAGGAGCGGTTCTTCAGACCTCACTTCTTGCAGGCCCCTGGGGACCTGACTGTGCAGGAAGGGAAGCTCTGCAGAATGGACTGCAAAGTAAGCATTTGTTACGGTCGATAAATCTGTTGTCTCCCTTCCCTCAATGCCGTTCCTCTTGGGGAAACTTTGTAAAGTATACATCTTTAGAACGTGTCCCTGCTTAAGAGAAAAAAAAAAAAATCGGTGAAATATAAGGGATGCTTATTTACTGCTTTAAACCATTTTTCTTTATTTTTAAATGTTTATTAAATATGTTCATTACTTAAAACCCTTTATACCATACTCCAGAAACTGAAAGGTTTTATCCTTTTTTACATTTTATTGAAGTAATAAATATTAATCAGTCATATGTCCTCATCATTAATTAGGTGAGCTTCAGTATTTATTCATACAAATTTTATATCCATATATTTACTCTGACCTTTGTTCCTCCCAGTTTCTATTTCTAAAAGAGGTGAGAGCGACAGCCGCCTTTCCCCCATTTTACAACAGGGTTTCTTAACTCTGGGTATTCAGGTTTTCGTTGCATATGTGAACTCTGAAACTGAATACAAAGTGCGTGTGATATAGCTTTCATCAATTTCTCAAAAGTTTAAGGCCAAAAATGTTTAAAAAGTACTGCTCTTATAAACTTTTTGAATTTTTCTTTTTTTTTTTTTTTTTTGCCGCATTGGTCTTAAATTTAAAATTTAGCTCTGAAATATGGATAAGCTTTTTAGAAGTTATATGGGCTCCCTCTGCTGGTTATCTTTGGGACTGCAAAACACAATTATAAGGTGTTTAGAGGATTTGGGCATTGTTTGTTTTTACAAAAAGTAAATCTGGGCTTGTAGAAATACATAAAAAGAATGAAAGGCTCTATTCAAATTATGACATGATTATAATGGCCTTAAATTCTTGAGATCAGGCTTTCTTTACTTACCCAACCAAGAAGACTGGGGCTAGAAAAGGGGTAGCAGAATCAGACATTCTCCTTTTGCTTTAACGTAAGTTTGTCCACTGGCAGGTGCACTGTGAACTGGGTGGGCGGACAGTGCACAGCATTTTAGGCATCCCTCCTACTAAACATACTTCAGTCTCGGCAATACGTGGTCCTGCTTCTCTGGGTTCTAACCTAGTACAGTGAGAACAAGCAGTGCCGCTTCTTTTCTAAGCTTGGGAAAGGCCTGGAACCTGACCAGGAATGTCCACTCCCTCCTTCTCTGTTCCACTTCCAGTGACGTCTAGGCAGGTAAAGCGGTGTGTATGGAGAGCTGGGGAGAGCAGGTGGGCAGATGAGAGAACGTAAGAGCCTGAAACTTCTCAGAAGCTAAGCTGCCAAGCTACTGATGTTTGCTTCCAAAATCTGTCTTTTAATGAGTAGTTTACATTTATGTAATATTTTTCCTTTAAGTTCTCTAGAGTCTTGCAACTTGTGTGGGGGGAGGCATCTTTTAGGTATATAGTATCAATGAATGTTACACAGCAGGAATGGGATTTATGAGCTTTCTGGCTGATTTTGACAGAGCTGGGTCTTCAAAAATATTGTTTTACAATCCAACTGACATCTTTTTGTAGGTAATTTCCCACTAGTAAATATGGGGTGGGGTAGAAAGGCCTTCCTTAATGGTGCTGTTCTCCCCATTCAAAATCAAAGGCAAAGCTGTAAAGACTTGACAGATGGCAACCACCCCTACTCTGCACAGCACAACTTATTATTAGCGGTTAACTGTGCTTTTGTCTGATCTCTGGTCAACACAACTGCCATGGTCTCTACATTTTATGATGCTTCCATTGTGATGCTAATTTGTTGATAAGGCTTTCTGGGTAATTTTGTATTGTTCCTATTAGTTTCCAGGATTATCAAATAATAATAGTAGCCCTACTTGCTGACAGATGCATTAACTAATGTCTCCATAGCAATGGCAACTCTTTGATGAGAAGCCGCATAGTGTATAAACGCCAGCTGAGTATTTGTTATGGTTATTGTGGTTGGACGTCTTTTTTTCAAAGAGCTCAGGGCCCTATGTGGAGATCATCCCAGTAATATTTATAACGCTTGGTGAGGTAAGATGATGACAGAGGTTTTTTTAATCCCCATTTCACTTTTCTCTAGGTTGCTCTATAAGAAATGTTTAAAAGTGAGCCCACTTAGGAAGCCTCTGAAAGGTTTTACACAAAAGAGGAACCAGAGCTGATAGTACAGGCCCTCTTCTGTACTACACCAAAGGAGGAATTCATGCTGGTTTCTTAGCTATTGATTTCATTGTTTTAATATTAGAGACATTTATATGCATTCTTCTTCTGCTTCAGGTCAGTGGGTTACCAACCCCAGATCTAAGCTGGCAACTAGATGGAAAACCAATCCGCCCCGACAGTGCTCACAAGATGCTCGTCCGAGAGAACGGGGTGCACTCTCTGATCATTGAGCCAGTCACATCACGCGATGCCGGCATCTACACATGTATAGCCACTAATCGAGCAGGACAGAACTCGTTCAGCCTGGAGCTTGTGGTTGCAGGTAGGCTCAGCTGTGAATCCTTTCTCTCTCCAAGAATGAACAGCAGATTTAGAAATGTAAGGTAATCCTACATTATTAATCAATATGTTAAATGAATCAAACTGATGGGAAAAAAAATAGATTGAATCACCAAAACAGCCAATTACAATATGTAAAAAGGCTTAGCAAATCAGAACATTAATTTTTCATCAGTGTAGCCATTATTATGTAGCTTTCCTTTCTCCCACTAGCCTAGTGAAGAGAGAGGAGGATTTGGGCTTTTCTGGGTCATTCTCCTGGTGCGTGGTGGCCCCGTGTAACCTAAGGAAAGGGCATTCGCAGCATGGGCTCCAAGAACCAGGCCTGACGTGTAAGAGTTTGCTTATGCATAAACTTCTACAACCAGACCTAGCTCTTAAAGTAATGTGACGTACACTGATTTCAAAATCCAAGATTTTAAACGTTTCATTACCCCCAATGTCGTAGTCAAATTACACCCAGATTTTCTTTTAAGTTGATTCTATTGTTAGGTAAACTTTGTAAAAGTGGTGTTATAGGAAGTCTTACCCTTAGATAAGGACAGTATATTTATGGAAAGGTTTATACCATCCTTAGGAGTTGAGCGTAAGTAAAGATTCTGATATCTGTCTCTCAAAAAATGAAACATTTATCATACCTCTACTTGCAAAGCTCCTCATATATATTATCTCAGTCGTCACAACAGCCCTATGAAATATTAGAGCAAATTTTCTTCATAAGTGAGATCTGTTCCCACTTCCCCAAAATAGCCTAGGCCAAGTAACCATGTAAAGTCCAAATAAAAAAAAAAGAAAACCAGAGCCCTCTACATAATTCAAAGTCTTAGACGGTCTTGGGTATTTAAAAATTTCAGGTAGAATATTCATCCTCTTCACCTCTCTCTCCCCTTGATAGACAAAGGGAGCACTCCAAAGAATTCAGAAGCTTCTTGAAATAATTGCTTAAATAGATCTTTTATTTTATGATACCATTTTTCACTTTAGGTGAAAAAGTCCATGTAAAGTCCAAATAAAAAATAATTTGATAAATTTGTCACTCCAGAGGAGAGGAACTCGTGGGAAAAGGCACGCATCCTCCAATCCGCTATGGGTAGCTCGGAAGAAAATAACCTTACTCTTTCTACCTCAGCTCCAAGAAAAAATTTCCCATTGGATGGTGATATTAGAGTGCTATTAACAATCAGTTTTGAATATTTCCGGCTAATTAAGTTGCCCTTTTTTATGGCTTTCTTCCTTCAGGGTAATAAAGTTGTCTTTTTATAGCCCTTCAAAGTATACAAATTGGAGTCTGTAATTTATAGATAACTATTTAAAGTTGCCAATTTTCGATGGAGATGCCTCTCCTTTATTTTCCCCCTTTTTAAATCCTATGGTAGGTCTCATTTGAGCCAGGACTTACAATGTTTCAGAATCTTAACAGTAAACATTGCAGGTCGCATGGAGAGGAATCTAAGCAGATCAGATTCCTAGAAACACTTGTCCTCCTCAGCGTCACTAGGTGGCAGTGGTTGGTAAAGGCTCGGCCTGCGTAGCGTGGAGCCATCTCAGATGCTAGCAATGACTTAGGAGCCTCGCGCAGCCTGCCAGGCATTCTGTGGAGCAGATGGCCAGTGGACTGTGTGGGCCTGTCAGACTTGAATTAATTTAGGAGACAAATGAGTGGAATGAGGCGTGGTAACCTTTCTTGGTAAAAGAATAATTTGGAGAGAGGACTTGCATCATACCACCTAAAGTGAAAAATGGCATCATAAAATAAAAGATCTATTTAAGCAATTATTTCAAGGAGCTTCTGAATTCTTTGGAGTGCTCCCTTTGTCTGTCACTGATAGCTCATTCATCTCATGTTTTCTTAGCTAAAGAAGCACACAAACCACCCGTGTTTATCGAGAAGCTGCAAAACACAGGCGTGGCAGATGGGTACCCAGTGCGACTGGAATGCCGCGTCTCGGGAGTGCCACCACCCCAGATATTTTGGAAGAAAGAAAATGAATCGCTCACACACAGCACGGACCGAGTGAGGTGAGCGTACACAATGACTGAACCTAGTCCTAATGATATATATTTAAAAAACACAGTTTATATAGAGCATAAATCTCTGTAAGAGTAATGCTGTTGATGATTTCAAAGACAAAAATCACTCTTTCATGTCTGATTAAGCTTTCAGAAGAGCAGCTATAATGGTACATGACAAAGCACATTCTAACTAATCTCATGGTGATTTTGTGTGTGTGTGTTTATATCTAAAAGAAAAGATGACTTCACTTGCTACAATGGTGATAGAGAAACTACTCAGCGGTTTTATAACGGCAGATCCTTAAGTAGAAATTAAGTGCACAGATTTATTCAACCTCTTGATGTCTGCTCTTCTCTCCCATTAACTGTAATGGGGCTAGCGGCCTCTCCAGAATAAGTATGACCCTATTATCAGCTACTCGCACAATTGTGTTTTTAATGATCTAATTAAAAACGATGCTTCTTGCCCAGAGCCCCTTCCAGCATTCAGCACCCTGACGCCTTTCTCCCTGTCCGCAGCATGCACCAGGATAATCACGGCTACGTCTGCCTGCTCATTCAGGGAGCCACAAAGGAAGATGCCGGGTGGTACACCGTGTCCGCCAAGAACGAGGCCGGGATCGTGTCCTGCACCGCCAGGCTGGACGTTTACAGTGGGTGCCCCTTCCTCTCATTGTACCGGTTCAATCAATTGTGAATAATCAGGCATCTCAACAGCAAATCACATTGTTGTCATTTAATCTTATAAACAATGATAGTGGGAATTTTTGGCCAACTTTCATAGTGCTCTTTCTCTTTCTATTTATAGTTTCTCAACATTAATAGTGAACTACACCAGGAGAACACATAATCAAGTATCATTTGGAAGCTTTGCATTATTAGCAAAATATGCATGTTGACTCCTCTTATGCTGGCTAGTCAGTTGTGGCTTCCCTACCCGAGCACCCTTAGGTGTTAACAGTAGGCAAAGGCTTAACCACGTGCTTTCACATTATACTTGCTACTGTGTTTTGCAAATGACTGCCTTTTTCTTTGTTAACATTTTTTATACTATAATACTATCATAGTGTCTTATTGCACTCTAAACGTGTGAACCATTGATCCTATAATGCATACTTTTGTGGCTTAGTGCTTTTCTAGTTAATACATCTTAAGCAGCTGAACAATAGGTTTGTGATTGTTTGTGTTTTTTGTATACATGCATCCTAAATTTAAAGAAAATCATTTTTTATTGAACTTACAAGGCAGTACAATAGCAATATGCGATCTACTGACACAGAGAAAACCACTAGAAAAAATTAAGAACTTAATTTTTCGTGAGTAAGTTATAACTTTGTGAAGTATCTCAGAAAATGAGTGACCCCAACCTTCCCTCCTGCCCAATTCCTTCCTGTGGATTAGTGTTGAAAGATGCATCCAGAACACCAGTCTACTCTCACTACCGTGGCATTTACACATTATGAACTCTAAGATTAAAAAAAAAGGTGGGAAGTGAATTACGAAACTCAGACTATTTCAAGGGGTTTCCTGTGCTGAAGCATGCATTTACTTTCCCATAAAGATCAACTGTACTTTGTCTTTATTGTCTAGCTATTATTACAGTCCCACTGCCTGGTAGAGAAAAGAAATCTGTAACATAGGAGTGAAATGCAAAGCCAGCCTCAAATTTCAGGCCCCTGCCACAGATGTGTTTGCACTCTCACGAAGAACAAGCACCTGCTGTGCATCAGAAGACAGCCTGTCTTTACTTAAAACATCTAAGGGCTTTCCACTAATCTTGGTTATAACATCCTCCTCTCTCTTTTTGTAGCCCAGTGGCATCAGCAGCCCCAGAGCACCAAGCCAAAAAAAGTACGCCCCTCAGCCAGTCGCTACGCGGCACTTTCGGACCAGGGACTAGACATCAAAGCAGCGTTCCAGCCTGAAGCCAACCCATCTCACCTGACGCTGAATACCGGCCTCGGCCTCGTAGAAAGTGAGGACCTGTAACCCAACACTCTTGTTAAAGCTGAAACACTGAACCAGCCTTGCCTTGACCAACATATTCCTTTGTCACAATATGTAAAAGGCAGAAGTATACCTTTGACTATAAGAAATAAAAAAAAAACCCAAAATAATATTTTTCTTACTTGATATACCAAACTTAGAGTTGAAGTAGGAGATGCTATTAGAAATGTACACATCGCACAGGAAATTCACATTCATCATCCAATTTAAAACTTTTGAATTGCTGTGATTAAAGTGGTCTGAAATGCCAAAATGCTAGAGGAAACCAGTTTTTCAAAGGTAACCACAATTTGTATTATCAGAAGTGCCTTCAAACACTAGCATTAGGTGCTACACAGCATGACAGTGTGAAATACTAAACTTGAGGCAATTGTACCACAAATAACACTAAAATGATTCTAAAGTGGCAGTGTATTCAGACAGCTACCATGAACCAAGTGCAATATGTAAGGATGAAAAAGGAAGAGGAAAGGAAATCCAAGTAAATACCTTGTCATTGCAAATGGTTTTATATTAAATCAAAAGGAATTGCTTGCCTTAAATTTTAATGTCAAGAGTTCTCTAACAAGGGTAATACCTTAGTTCTTAACCTTTTTTTTCCTGTATGTGTTCTATTTTCTTTTCATGCTACCTTGGTAGAAAGCTTATTTACAAACCATATTCAAAGGCTAATTTAAATATAAATAATATAAAGTATTCTGAATAGAGCAGAAATATATTACAATCCATTCCAGGAAAGGCATCCAAACCGCCCAAATGACCAAGGCATATAGAATCTGGAGGAGGCAGGGGTTTGGAAGGAGAAGAATGAAGGAAAATGCTACCAGCATACTTACTACATTGTATTCATTTAGATAAAAGTAGAAAGGGTGGGAGACATGTTAAAGGCCAGGCTTTTCTTTGGTTTTCTTGAAAATTAACCTAACACTGTGATTCACAAGTCAGGGAACCTCGGGTCAGCTGGAAGTCGGAGCACATGCGCTCTGGAAATTTTAGTGTGCCTGACATTTGTGTCGTAGAAGATTTTAGATGTTTAGAGCAAGTTGAAAATGGACTGAGACTGCAAGGCCGGCGTAAGTGGGACGTTGCCTGTAGCACGTAGTCTCCTTGAGGGAAATGCAGACTTAGGAGAGACAAAAACAGGTCTGTGCCGTAATGTATTTTTTTCAGTGGCACCAAGATATGGTGAATGGAAAATATCAGTTCACGTCCCTGCTGCCATGAAACCTTACTTTAAGGAGGTGCTGCGTTCTGAGTAGTGTGTAAAGGTGTATCAGCAAAGACTGATTCTTAAATGCATATGATTCTGCATCAGCTAGACTGAGTTGATTCTGACCAGACTTGATGGTTTTAAGTCGGAACCAATAAACTTTAAAAAGGAGAAAAAACAGTTTGGCCTAGTATTATAAAACAGGAGGCTTCAATGGTACTTTGCTATGAAAAGAAAACACTGTATTCCTTATGCAAAACACATTTATCTTTCATTATTTATAATAAAAAATGTTGAACTCTTCTTAGCTCAGTTACTCAATTCAATATGTAGTATTTTTAAAGTAATTTTATATCTGTGTACCACTCCATGTATTTCATATTACTGCTTCACATGTACAGCTTTCTACTTCCTTGTAAGAACACCAACCAACCAGGTTTTAAATGATTAATAGGCTTGAGCACTGGGTGGCAGATGTTCTACGCAAAGTGGTATAATTTTCTTTGACCGCAGCTCTGTGCATTACTAATACGGAATTTAAGATACCATACAAAGTCCCTCATGGACCTATCTATATTGTAGTATTATGACTTATGTCATTTCTTACTTGCCAAATTTTTCTGAATGAAACTTTTTTGCTAAGTTGCTGGGTTTGGGATTAAGTAGCATTATTTTGCCACCTTTTATGTTGTATTTATAAAAAAAAATAGTACTATCATACTACTATGGATTGTTGTGCTGGTGTAATGTGGACTTAACATCAATAAATATTTAACAAATAATAGTTGCAATTTTGTGAAGCAAAATATTCAGTTGTTTTAGTTTCCTATCATTGCAGTAATAAATTAGTACAAACGGAGGCTTAAAACAATACCCATTTCTTAGCTCATGGATCTGTAGGTGAGAAGTTCAAGCACGACATGGTTGTATTCTCTGCTCAAGGTCTTACAAGACTAAAAAAATCCACGTGTCCGCTAGACAATGTTCTCATCTACAGGCCACTCAACCCCCACAGGCCACCTGCGTCTCACGCCGTCCTCAAAACCAGCAGTGGGCGCATCCCTCATGACCAAACCTTCCCGCGCTTTGACTCTCCTGTCAGCAGGGGCCCAATCCCTTTTAAGAGATCATTTGATGAGGTCAAGCCCCCTCAGGTAATCTATCTAAAAATCACTGGATTTGGGACCTAATTACACTTGCAAAATCTCTTCAAAGCCATCTGTGTTTGAGACAAGATGTGTGCACAGCAGGAGGCGGGAGATCACGGGGACGAACCATCTCAGAATTCTGACAACCGCATCAGTTTATTTTATGTATGCATATAAGTAATATTAGTGCATGTGATGGCCTAGTGAAAAATATTCTGTGACCACATCATATCCCCTCCCTTAGAAACTGGTATACAGCATTCTGGTTCAAGGTGGCAACACAGGAGAATCTTGAATATACCAAATTTACAACTATACAGAACAGTTTCCTCTGAAACCCAAAATCTGGCTGGATGATTCATATACAATTGGGCAAATGAGGAAAAAATCGCAAGCTGGAACAGGCAGGAGAGGCTGAGACACAACCTTGCCAAAAATCCCGCCCTCAGCAGAGCCACCCACAAATGGGAGGGAACTCACGTCCCAGAGCCTCTTCCTGAGGAGGAGCACGCAACTTCTAAGACCTGCGAATGAAAGAAGCACCCCCAAAACATCTCACTTCAAAATCCAACGGGGGCTCGCACCTAAGAGACCTGCAAGGCTATCGCAACCTGAGAAAGACTTTTAAAGGGCTGCACAGGCACAGACTCGCCCACGGGCCGAGCACAGAGACAGCTGACTGAACAGCGCCCAGTCTTTCTGTGAAAGAGGCCCATCTGCTTAACTTAAAGGGTCGCCTTGAAGGGTGGGCATCTAATTTAACACTCCGAGGGGCCTGACTACAGGTGCGGTATAAGGGGCAGGCTTCTAAGGAAACACACAACTAAAAGCCAAGGGTAATCACCTCGAGAGACCTCAGAGAGCAGGTGCTACCTTCACGCTTTCCCTCTGCCTCGCTCAGGGGTCACTGGTATCTCCCGAAGAAGACCCTGTGCACCCATCCACAGCAGCCACCCAGAAGACACCCCTTGACGGCCTGGCGCTGTGTCCAGCAGGGCTTTCGTTTGCAGGTCCCATAGGACTATAATGGAGAAACAGTTCTTAATCAACTAGCCCCCGCCCCAGGGCACACCAGACGGTCAGCAGACTGAAAAATATCCGCAGCCTTCCTGTGAAAGAGGAAAATTCACCTGTCATCATCGCTGTGGCCTAAGGGTCAGGCTTTGAATTCAGTACACATCTGGAGGCTGAGGAGACTCCCTTCCAGCAACGCGAAGGCCGGCAGGTGCTCTCACTCTGCCCAGCCCCAGGGTACCCGTGTCCCCACAAAAGGAGCTCATGCACACATCGGCACCCCAGTTTTGTGGCTGCTGCCCAGAGGACACATCCCTGGATTGCCTGGCTCTGGTGGGCAGTGGGCTTGTGTTCACAGGTTCAACTAGACCACAACAAACAAACAGTTCTTAACTGGCTATAACCCCAAGGCTCAACGTGGAGGGAGAGGACAGAAATGCCCTTCTCTACTTTAAAAACCGCTGCCTGAGAGTCTGGCTTCCAGTCAGCCAGAATCTAGCTGCTGACCTAGGTCCTATCCATTGGCACACTGATAGGTCTTGCCACACCCTCAAACTACTGGGAACCACTAAGACCAAAGTCGGCTATCTGGACAATTACAAAGGCTTGAGGGACAACCAACAGCCTGGACAGGACTGAACAATAAATCTCACCTCCTACATGAGGCCAGTCTTTCGAGACTGGGAGAGGTGACCTTACAGAAACATACTGAGTGTAAAGGAAAGTGAAGAAACAAAGGAATCCATTCCAAACAAAAGAAGATAAAAACTAAGAAAAAGACCTTAATGAAATGGCGGTAAGTGATTTAACTGATAAAGAATCAAAAATAATGGTCATAAAGATGCTTATGGAGCTTGGCAGAAAATGCATAAGCAAAATGAGAATTCCAACAAAGAGTCATTACAAGATAGAAGTCATAGAGCTGAAGAATACAATAACTGCACTGAAAAACACAATACAGGGTTCAACAGTGAACTGATAAAGCAGAAGAAGGAACAGTAAATTCATAGAGCAGAAGAACAAAAAGAAAAAATGAAAGAGTAAAGACAGCTTAAAGGACTCATGGGACAACATCGAGTAAACCAACATTCACATTATAGGGTCCCAAACAGAGAAGAGAGAGGAAAGGAGGCAGAAAACATATGTGAAGAAATAACAGATGAAAATTTCCCTGTCTTGGGCAAGAAAGCAGATACCCAGACACAGAAAGCCCAGAGAATTCCAAAAAAGATGAACCCAGAGACCCCCACCAAGGCACATTAAAATGTCAAAAGTTAAAAACTTAAAGAGAATCACTTACAAAGCCAGTGTGAAGGGTAACAGATAAAAGGAGTCAAAATAACTACATTGGTTAATAAAATATACAAAATAAAAGCTGTAAATTATAGTGTTAGAATGTATACAAACTTAAGTTGCTATTAAGTTAAAAATAGACAAAAGTTTGTTTACATAAGCTTCATGGTAACCACAAAAAACAAAAACGTATAGTATATACACAAAAGACAAAGACAAAGAAATCTAAGCATACCACTAGAGATAATCATCAAGTCACAAAGGAAATGAACAAGAACAAAGAAATGACAAAACAAAGCAACTAACAAAATAGCAATAAATATATATACACATCAATAATTACTTTAAAGGTAAATGGACTACATTGTCTAACCAAAAGACACAGAATGGCTAAAAGAAATTTTTTTAAAGACCCACCTATATGCTGTCTACAGGAGAATCACCT